TCGCGGACTGCAGCGGAAAACTGCAGATCATCAAAATATATAACAAATTGAAATATATAGTTAGGTCATATATTCTCATTAAGTTGCGTTGAATTCTTTTCACTGAAAAAAAGCGAAGTTTGTTGTTGTTCTGTACTGCTCTGTTATGCGGGTTTTTTGAAATTGTTTGCCATGACAAACCTGAAGGCAGAGCAGAACAGAACATAAAGTAAGATGCCCAGCTTTCAATAAGACCGAACATGAAAATGTACTGTGTTAGTTAATCTTGAAATAAAGTACGGCGTATATCTCAAGACATTTTATAAGTTCATCGTGATCTAATATTATTTAGTCGACTAACGACCTCGCTGAAGCTTTGGAGAAAGTACGATCAGTTGAGGAGAAGAAGCTGTCTATCGAGAAGGTGATGGAGCAAATAAAATCGCAATTGGCCGAGAAGGAGAGAGAGGTAAGTTAATGTTATTGAAGGAGGTCGGGAATTCTACGATGCTTGCCTTTCGAAGTACGACCACATCAATCATATTTGTTCCGAATGCTTATTCGATGTTCATAATACACGGTGTTCATCTCTTAGAGAGAAAGAAGTTTGTATTCGATTTTCAATTCAGATCACTACCCTTCGGCTAAATGAGGCAAATGCAAATGTAATGGTTTCCGAAGCAAAACAAAAGATGTAAGTTGCTCTCTTCCCTTCTCATTATTTCTTTCCTATCTCGCTGCGTCATTCTCAGCATTTCGATTGCTAAGATTTCTCGAGTTATTTTAAATTTCATTTTGGAAAACATTGTCTATTTTTTGAAAGGCGTTTGGAAACAAGACTACCAACTTTTGTTGCTTCTCACTTTTCTTTTAACAAGTTGGCTTTTTCTTCAACTTTTAGTTTTACTGTTTTCAGTGTGTAACTAGATCAAAATGTTCCTTCTTGTTTCTTTTTGTTGAAGATAACTCTTTTTTAGATGATTGAAGAAAAAATAATGCACTAGAAATGCAAGTGTTACTTTGAAAGACCTTACTTGATGGCTATTTGATCACAAAAGGTAACTTTTTTGATCCAGTAATGATATGTTTCAGGGATCTCTTCAATGAACTTGAGCAGGATTGGCAAAAGAAACAGTTGCGACTATGCGAGAAAATTGACGAGTTAAGTATGGAATTGGAGCAGGCTAAGAACAGAACACAAAGCGATGAAGTGAATTCGTTGAGGAGAGAGGTACTCGACTTGATAAGTATTTGACTTAACATTAATGTCGCGATGAAAGCGCCCGTTCTTGGTCAATAGTTAGGGCAGCTTGCAGCGCCAACGTATCATTAACATTTACCATGTTGGTGGTTATGGCATACGCAGTGATGACAGCTTTGATTTTTTCTAAATATTCATGATGTTTTCTTCACTTTTCTGTCTATCCTTTACTATTTATGATCTAACTTTTTATTCCAGTTGGCCTTCACAAATTCAATCATTGCCGATCAGAGGAGGAAAGAAGTGAAGTTGAAGGAAGAGATTGAAGCTCTCAAGAATTTCTCTGTTGATTCGTGAGTTTCTGGGCTGTTGCCATAGATGATTGCTCAATGTTCATAAAAAATAGTTGATTTGCAGAATAAGTGTGCCACGGTTATCGATAGGAAGCCGTGATGTGAAACCGAGGATGTATTGTGACATTTGTGAGAAGTTTGATCAGCATGATACTGAGGTATGCATAAAACCACAGGTTTTCTCGAGTTTAAAAACAGATTTTGTAAACGAAGTTTTTTTTATTTCGCTTAGCATACAAAATATCTACTCGAACCGAATTCTTCCAGTCAGCTAGAATTCGATTCGAATGAACTGAAAGTGAATCGAGAACTTTTTCAATATTTCGTCGTTATCCGTGGATTTTTTTCTTCTGTGAAGCTGAGAATGTATTGTGACAGGCTGGGGAAGCTGGGGGTTGTGATTAGTGGTCTAATTATTGGGCTTGTTGTAGTGGCTGTCTTTATCGGTTCGTCGGCGTCAGACAGCTGAAACCGACTCAATGCCTGATCCTTGTAGCCCATTTTTGCAGAACCCATTATGCATTCAAACTATCCAAGACAGTTTGAAAACATTAAGTATGCCCATCTACTTAGCAGTGGCCCATCTAGTACCAGTGACCATAGTTTAATAATGTCGAAATGGGTGTTGAATTAGGCTGATATCGAAAAATGGGACTTTTTTTGGGAGGGGGGGGGGGGGGGGGGGGGNNNNGAGACGTGTTAGTAGGAAATAAAAGGGCTCAGGCTCTTTGTTATGTTTAGACGTGGTGCTAAGCCTTGCTGGTTCATGGACGCGAAAGGAATTCGTGAAGGCGTGCTCTATATAGGCTCTCTATTCTCTCAATTCATTGGAAGTAAATTGGTTAAATAAGGTTGTTTGTGCTGTAGAAGCATTAGGAATTGCAGAACTCACTGCTTCATTGCTGGAGCGTGGTCTTATCGGCATTTCACTAAACGTTATAGGATTGTCCAAAGCAAGAAGTGCAAGAAGAGATGGTGCGAACAAAACCAAAGAAGCCACCGCCTCCATCACGAGAATACTGTGATCATTGTGAAAGTAAGCTGTTTTCCTTCACATTATTAATCTGTTAGAGTTACCAGAGTGGAGGCTCTTGGTAAAGCAGGTAAGCAGCAGGGGATATATGCCTTATGGCAAATTATAGAATGCACCTTTCTTGGCTTGAGGGCTGCTGACCGGGATTGAATCGATTTATTTCCATTTTGGAAGGGATCACCTCGGTGATGCATATGACCATGGACGCACTGGAGCAGTAAACTTTAGAAATTGATTTGCAGTAGCTCCAACTACTTGAGTTCTTAAGGAAGTAATTTGATGGGTGAATCACCTCATGGTGAAGAATATTCAGGCATGTCCGTCTAGTCAACAGGTAAGGGCAAGGAAGGGGCAAACATAGGCTCCCGGTGACCGCTTGTGGGGGAACGTAGGGTTGTTATTGATGAATCGTGACTTTTCAGTAGATATTCATTCATCCCAAAGGGTTTGGCTGAGGTGTACTTAAAGTCTCAGGCAATTTCATCCTTGTCGTTTCAGTGTTTGGTCATGATACGTTCGCTTGTAATATGCAGGAGAAGAAAAAGAAAAAGGATTATACTTTTTAATCTTTTAATATTTATTCGTAGGGTCAGATTTTCTATGTGTGATAGATTTAGAAAGATTCTAATATCATCAATTGCTCACTCACACTGCAATTAATTTAGGTACAGAGTCAGGGTTTGTCGAATACTTAAATTTGTATAGTATATAATTGTCGTAAAGCAATCTCTAGTACCTCACTGTAAGTTAATAAGAGTGATCTACTTAGCGTTTTTACACGTTTCACTTACTAGAACCCTCCCAGTGATTTCGAGACCTTTAATGAGATTTTTATTGCGTGGTAGCGGTTTGTCGCCGTTTTTGGTTTGTTCATATCATGAGGTTGTTTTATCTTTTTTTTTCTTAATTTCAGCACTTTTTGTAGTGTTTTTTGTCTGTCTATGTGTGATAACAAGCTTGTGAATGAAATTTCAATGCTTCGTTGTATGTAGCGGGCTACTGTTCGAGGTGACTCTCAGGACGGTGTTCACAGGCGAGATGAAAAGAATTAATTTTGTTCATTTGGCCTAGTTCTGTCAATTTCATATATTTAATATCAACAATGTACTTGAGGAAGCATTTATCAAAGAGTTCACTTTTGTGAGCTCTTATTTTCTACCTTTTTCTAGTCAGCAAGTTGTATTCTTGCCGCCTCCTCCTGGGTGATGATGTTGTTAGGTGGGGAGCTCTTCGTCTCTACCACTAAGCGTCATGGCGCAGAAAAAGTGGTCGCCGTCTGAAAGGGTCTATCATGGTGCTTACGAACCGTACGTAGCTTTAGGAATGGTGCATTTATGTAATCCCAAAGAGGGAAGCACCAAGATGGGTGATACGTTTACCTCGTGCAAAAAGCTGCATGGGAGATGAACTGAACGTTAAATTCAACTGAAAGTGTAACATTAGCTTACTAGCATGCTATACCTGTACAGAAAACTCAGCGAAGGTGCAAAATCGCGTACAAGCGCAATTGAGAACAGTGACCCCTAGCTACACTTTAACCCTCATCTGAGCTGATCGATGGATCGGTTAGTTTCTAAATCTTCGTGGTTACTGAAGGACACAACTGAATTCACAACATAGGCAGTAGGCACTAGAGTAAGGCCCACAGTTTGAAGTCATTTAAATCTACAGTTCCCGGCTCATAAGGGTTCTTCTACCCTAACAGCCTGCACTGCATCCAATCGCGCGCGATTCCGGTAAAGATGACGGTAACTGCCGCAGACTACTGCACCATCCTGTGGGAACTCGCGCACAAATACCACCATCCAGTTCAGCAAGTCTGCATTTAAAATCAGAGAGCAAATATTTGGTACTAAAGGACCCCGAATTTGTGATTTGAATTGCGCGCGAAAAGTTGATATTCCCGCGCCTTGACTTCCAATGATCTACACGCGGCCGTGTGATTGCTGTGTGCTCCCTAGACAGATGGTGGTTGCTTCCTGCTCCATTTTTTTAATCTGCTCAATTTAACTTCTTCACTTCCTTTTCAGTGTTTTGGTAGATACACTTTCTACATAGCTGTGGCAAGTGATTTTGTTATTGTTCATTTTGCACTGTGCACCATTTAAAGCGGAGGGTTCGTTGAGCATTTAGCGATTTTTTCAATCGGTTACGTTTGAAACTTTCACTACNGGCCTTGGATTACATTACTACATCAGGTAGACTTCGTGTGAGGTAAAATGTATTAAAAATGTATGAAAAGGTTTTGCCCAATCATTCAGTTCAACTCGCACCTATGACATACGATGCAAGGAAGCGATGACCTCAACTGTATTTTTATCCAAATCGAAGTAGTTCAGGTGTAGCAATGGGGAATTCTAAGTCACCTAAGTCACCCTCAATTTCCTTTCTCATAACACATTAAGTTGTTTCACGCATCCGTAAAAATTTCCTGAAAAATGTAGTAGCTGGAGAGGGCACTCATCTTCTCTAACACTCAGAACTAGAGCGCATAAAAGGAAGTTCAGTCATCTTTCAAGTTCGTAGTGTTGCTCTCAAAGTGCGTTGCCGCTAACATTTTTGAAAAGAAATGAGTCTGAGGGCAACTAAACGTTCAATTCTTCCTCCATCCCAACCTTTTGCACATGATTTTCATCTCATTCACCCTGCTGCTCTCACCCTCATAAGGCTCAGTTGAAAAACTACACTCCTTTGGCTTATGAACGTTCCCAAGCACCATTACAGGCTAACCTTCGTTCTCTGCGCTCTAGAGCTTGGTGTTAGCCAAGAGGAGTGCTCCTCTTTCCGCACGGGCTACGTTTTTCCCAATCCTCTTCCAAGCTATTGCTGTAAATTTTTATATTCATTGCGGTTACTCAAATCGATTCCAAATTGGGGTTTTTTATAGTTGGATTGCGTCCGTTTGTTCGGCGTAAACAAGTCATCTAATCCTTCATCAAATGTATCTTGTATAGCATACTCGATGTTCTTCATATCACAAAAACAAAAAATCACCGCTGCTTATTGTATGCCGAATGATACCGTAACGTACAACCTACATTGAGCACTGAAGCAAGGGTGAGTTTGAAGAGGTTTTCTTCTTGTCATGAAACCTTTCCGAATATTCGAAGAACTGAAATGGTGTCATACAGGTACAGTCGGCTTGTTGCTGTGTCGTAACGAGTTTTGTATGAAGAAAACCGTATAAATTATTTTTTTCTTCCTTATACCCACACATTTGAAAGGTTCGCGGTTCGTGTTCGTTCTGATACTGCATTTAAAGTAATCGTTTGAATTGATTAATATTAGGACTCTACAGGAAAGACTACACTTTCTTCAAGGTTGCCCTAGACAATTTCAAGCCAGGATCGTAGCCACAAAAAGGCTCACTAGCTTGAAATCGGGACCCAAGAAATGGAGTGTAAAGAACAGGTGCAAATACCGTCCTGGTTTATCTTTCGACACTATTCATGGTAATTCGTAGTTTTGGAAATTTTTCATTTGCGGTGGACGTGGGAGTCGGTTGACGGACAGATTTCAGTTCGAGAAAAAATTTACCTACCTAGGCGGCGCGGCGCCTTTTCATGTCTGCGCCCTCTCCGGTGAGATGATGGGCAAGGAAGGGTAGGCGAGCTTTCGGGGAAAGGGTCGCGGGTTTCCCGCCATAGCATGGCGGGAAATGGGCTCAAAATGGGAAAGGGTGTATAGGAAAGGCAGTGAGTAGGATTCTCATCCGAAGGCATGGATTTCGCTGCGAATTTGCTGTCGCTGCGCGACTTCCCGCTGGTTTCGACGTGGCAGCAGTTGGCCATGAAGACGAAGCAGGAGTTCGACGACTGGTTTGCTGAACGAGGACTGCTGTGGAAGGATCGCCCGTGTCTAAACTGGGGGAAACCCGAGGAAGGTCACCAAGCAGTAAAGTGACAGCGGCGAAGATGGGAGATGGAAGTACGAGTGCAACCGTCGTGCGTGCCGGCAACCTGGAGTAGACAGGAAAGTTGAATACTCAAGGACATATTCTTTAAGTCCTTGCATGGGGATTGGAAGAAGATCTTTTTAGCCAGCTACCTCGTCGCCTACGACCTAGGCACGGCGAAAGAGATGGCTCGAACGCTGAGGTGGACGAGCAAACCGTCCAGCAGTGGAGTCAATGGTTCCGAGATGTGCTCGTTGAGCATTACACGAACAACGTTGTGCAAATTGGCGGACCGAACACCATCGTGCAGATCGGCGAAACCAACGTCGTGCGCCGCAAGTATAACGTTGTCGTCCGCAAGGATTGACTCGTCGGTGGCATCCAGGAAGGGACGAAGCTGGTCTTCATCAAAATCTTCGATAAGCGCGACGCAGCCACCTTGGAAAGGATCATCCAACAGCACGTCGCTCCAGGGGGAACCGTTCGGAGCGATATGTGGAGTGGTTACAATAACCTCTCCAATCTCGGTTACATCCACGAGACGGTCAACCATAGTGTCAATTTTGTGGTTCCAGCCATTGGAGTCCACACTCAGCGTATTGAGGGGTTGTGGTCTATCCTTCCAGCCACCGGAATCCACACTCAGCGTATTGAGGGGTTGTGGTCTATCCTGAAGGACAGGATCCGCAGACGGCACGGCCTCAGGGGCGGTCTCTGGGATGACCACTTCTTCGAAGTACTGTGGAAGTGGCAGTATGACAGCGAGAGCCTTTTGTACAAATTGTGGAGGATTATCTCGCTACGGTACCCCATCCGCTGAAATAGCTAACCCAACGGCCCTCTTTAGGGCCACCAAAATACGTTTCAGACAAATGCTATCGTGTATATAATGTATAAATGTATTATGTATTCTGTATGTAATGTATTCTCATTGAGACACTTCATGGGGCCTCTCCCTAAATCTTAAAGTCGCCTCAGAAGAAGAGTATGGACGATTCGTAGCTCTTTTATGTTATAACTGTGTATTTTCCACCTACCACCCGCTGGCCTACCACCTCAACGCGGTGGGTGTGTGAACGTGGGGCGTGTGGGCGTGTCCGCTTTACCACTCTTGTTTAAAAAAAAACCGGGTTCTGTAATTTTTTTACTATTCCATCATTTGCTCAATGCAAAGTTCCGGTAATTTCCAGTTATGCGAG